GCCATTATGCTTTATGTAAAAGTCTGTGCTCCGGCCTATACTGTAGATACATGCGCGCATATGCTCTTTACGGAACGCAGCCAATATTTAATATATATTCTTGTTCCTAATATTTTCTCTATAGCGCGCAAGATCTAAATATTACATCAACAAGCGGTGTTCACTGAGCATTAATAAACGGTTTTATTTCAAAACAAACATGTGTTATAAGGAAATGATTTAGTTCTTAAAAGTAAAGGTCTGATAATAATGTAAAATAAAAATAAATGTTGATTTTATTATTCTGAAAGAAATACTTTCAAAGAAAGAAAATCATATTTTTAGAAAAATAATTCTACAATACTTGAAATAAATAAGTTTTTTTATAGATATACATGAATTTATCAAGCAATATGATTTAAAAATATAAAAACATAATACATACTTAAAATGTGATCTAAATGTTTCATCATTGTAAGCTGATATAACATTTTTAATGTAAATTTGCAATCGCGGATTAGTGTTGTTATAGAGCGTATTTGGTCAGTAACTTTTTATATTTTTCTACATTTTTATAATAACCATTTTGATCTTCAGTATCATCAAATATTTCAAATAACATTGGTGTTGCAAATACTATAATTAATTTTTCCTTATCTAATATTTTGATACTGCTTTTATTCGCTTAGTAAGATCAAAAGAAACGGTTATTGTAAACGTCGCTTTAGCACTCACAAACCAAAAAGAACGATTGAAATTAGCGCTTATAAGCGTAAGCGCTCACAGCACATGAGCATCCAAAGGAAACGCAGCCTATGTATAGAGTTCATTGGCCTGGACAGAAAACACGTGACCAAAACTACTGTAGCAGTTGGTCATTTACGGTCACGTGTTGTTTACCGCTGAAATTGAACGTTAACGTAAAAAGGCACCTTGAGTGACATGTTTGCACATTTGTAAATAATACGAAATTAGTTGTACAACAATTAATAACGGACATACTTGCCGTTATTGTGAATTTCAGGCTCTTTCGTACTTCGCTGAACTGTCTATGCAATGGCTATAATAACGGACTTACCCATTGATGTGATTATTATCATCTTGTGCAATAAGAGCATCAGCTTTAAGGATATTATGAGTTTAACTCTTTCATGTAACCAATTTTACAACTTATTAACCACTGACAATGCACTTTGGCGGAAGAAATTTTATCAGAGGTATTTTTTCACATTGGTTTTTATGCACACAAGCTTAATTTATCTTATTCGGGATGCAAGTTTAGTGATAAGCAAATATCTTATTTCATTTGCCTTGAATAAATTTTCTATTTTAGTCAAAATTTGAAATGTATAGTAACGTTTGTTTTAAAATTTTTATTTCTGTTACAATAACCTAATCTGGTCTGTGTAATTTTGGAAAATATAAAGAAACTGTAAAATGTGTAAAATTATATAACTTTGAAAAATGACATGTATTTTTTGTTTAATTTTAGATGGCCTTATCTAAGAGAAGAATATGACGAACAACTGTGCCTAGAAAATAAAGGTTTTCTTGAACATATAAAAGCAGGTGTAAAATCTAAGAAAGAATTATGGCATTATATGTCGCTGATGCCAGAGAAACACTATGACGATGATTTTGGTGTTGACTTAAGGGATTTTTATTCACTGTTTGATCCAGTTGAAGGCGCATATTTTATGAATTATTATTTCTTTGTAAATGAGCTGATAAGGTTGCTTACAGAATCTCCAATGTAAGATTTAACAAATTGTTAATACAGCAGATTATAACGCATTTATTGCATATTTAATTTAGAAAATATTAGATTTTAAATATTGTATACAAAATGTTTTAGGGAATCCGATTTGACACAAAGATGTTGCGCAGAGATGCTTCTTTTATTCCTGCAGCGTTGTCATTTAATAGACAAAATGGACGAATTTCTAAATTATCCTGAGAAACAACAGATTTTAGAAAAAGCAGCCGTCATTTTAGCACAATGGTATCAACCTTTAAAATATGTGTCTTACTTGTATGTGAGTACGTCACTGCATAAGATTGCAGAGCAGGTATTGGAGTGCCTTCGAAATGATTATCCTGCGCATCCAATATGCTCAATATCAGAAGAGCAGCTTTCCTTTTGGGAAAACAATAATATCGATGACAATCATTGGAATAGCATAGAAGGAAGACAGATTATAGAGTGTCTTTGTAAAGTTTTATATAATTTAGGTTTTTGTGGAACTACATTTTGCAAATATTGGGGTACGAAATACATTCTCGAATACTCTTGTATAGATTGCGTAAGTTATAAATTATAATACATTATGAATACTTAACGTTGTTAGCGCAGTTCTTTGCTTGTTATGTCACAATATTAATATTTTTTATTGTAATTTGTGACAGGTTTTACAAGATAAAATTGGTACTACGGTAATTCTGGCAACAATATATCACAGTGTGGCGAGAAGACTTGGAATACGCTGCGATATAATATT